CCCACGAGTTTTCTCACTTTTACTCTTCTGATTCTCTCCCCCATCCCACCGGGGGGCGCGGGGGGAGTGAGCGAGCGGCTGTGTGGTGCTCGGTTGCCGGCTGAGGTCAAACCACGACAGTTGTGCTGAAATGTCCCGGTGCTGTGGGGTGCAGTGTGTTGGAGTTTGCTACCAGACAGGTGCAAGGGGACCAGAAGAATGACATCCTACAGTTGTCTTAAGGACCTTCTTCCGTGGCTTAGGATATGACCCAGGCAAAAAGTACAGGGTTTAGTTTCACAGAAAATGGAGGCAAAGAAGATAGAATACTGCTTAGGTAAGTACTGTGCACAAGGGAGTTTTTGGAGTAAATCACCATCTCAGTGCATTATGTTTAGCCATAGAGAACCTCGGGATGCAGAACAGCAGCTGCGTAGAAACCCTGGTTTGCGTTGACAAATGTGTATTCAGGAATTGGACCTGACTTGATATTTCTTATGCTTTCTTTAAAAAATAGTCCACTTTCTCCTCACAGAGAAGAAACAAGAGAACTGCTCCTATGTACCTGCAGAGGGGCTTTCACTGAGATGAAGAATGCTTCTGCACCCCCCTTTTGTATTGTTGTCCCTGAAGAAAGCGATCAGAAAAATCAGCCTCTGCGTACTCTTCACCACCTTTGGCTGGTTTAGTAGCTTAAAAACAGACATGGAACAAAGATCATTTTGGGCTGGTTCCTGCTGTTCCCCCTCTGTGTCCTCCATGAGAGGGGAGGAATCAACTCGCTCATGAGTGCAAGCATCTGCATCTGGTGTTCTGCAATTTCCTACAAGATATGTTTTGTTTTGTTGTGTTGTTTTCCTAAACTGTCCTTGAATTACAAATTACCGAAGATTGCAGTGACTAACCCCATGGTCCCGGTTTGATAGTTAAAGACATCATTATAACTTGTTTAGAAATCCTGCTAATAACCCTACTTTGCACAGAGAAAGTCACTTCAATTAAAATAAGCAGCAGTCTTTTGAAGAGGTAAGAATGTTTTAAGTTTGAAAGCAATGACTTCATATCTTTTGGGGGGGTGAGTCCTTTATGGCCAAAAAAAAGAAAAAAGCCCTAAAACCATTGATTATCTCCTACTGACTCCTACGTAGGTTAAAGCACAATTACACAGTAATTTAGATCAAATAAGATTAGAAGGCAGGGATTTTGCTTTTTTATGTTTACATTCTTTATCAAATTATGCAGTGCAAGGTCAGGTGACATGAATGAGAGGAACTACCGGAGTTCTGTGGGACATGTAATCACCTCCAGAGCTGGCTACCTTCACAGCAGCTTATGGGACAGCTCCTGTTTAGCTGGAACCATCTGCTAAGTCCCAGTCCTACTGATCTGGAACCACAGCCTGACTTTCCTCTCCGTTCTTCAAGATACAGGCCACTGATACAGGAGTATTTTCCCAGGAAACAGGGAGCAGAATAGAAGAAAACTCACTACAGAAATCCAGCCAGCCTTTTCTGCAAAACATAGGTGTATTTTTAAAACCAGAACAAATGCATTCATTAAATTACTGCAGCTTAATAACAACTAGATCTGTTATAGAGTAGAATACTTGGGGATTTTTTTCTAGAAAACAACTGCTTTTCTCTGGAAGTTTATCCCATTGTGCAAAATACATTGTTGCCAAGTAGCCAACCAATATAGCATTATTTGGTGCTGAAGGACTGTGTGGGTTTTTTCTTTTTTTAATTTTTACATGATGTTTGTTTGAATTTAACAATATTTCTTCAGCATACCTAGGAACGGTAAATTGACATTGTCCCATAGTCTTTTCATCCTTTTTAAAGGATTTCTTCCTTTAATGTAAGCTCCATTTTCTATTTTTCTCCCCTAAGTGCTAGAATAATGAGTTTTAACTTTCCTTCCTCCAAGTTTATTCTCCAGTAGTAAGATTTAGCCTTTAAATCTATTTGCACAGGCCAAATTACCCCAGGCTTTCACCTCTTCAATTCCCACAGCTTTGCTTCATACTTCACTTTCTTTCATTAATAATCTGGGGAGAAAAAATTATCTTACCAAGACCTGTGGTGGTTAAAAACAACCATCGTAACAAAAGAAGCCCACTTTTGCTTATCTTTAATGTGATGATAAAGAAGAAAACAAGTGTTGATTTTTTTTTTTCATATTGGATGCTGGAGAACATTTTGCCCAGTAGAAATTATTTGAACAATAAGCCAACAGACTGCAGTAATGACTCAAAGTTACCACTGTCTTAGATGAAGTTAAAAATCAAACTCTGCAAGTCAAATATTCCATCTTGCATAAAAAGCCTCCTGAATTACTGTTTTCTGATGACAATTCTAGCACAGAGGCTGTATTATGAATTTTATACAGATTATTTTTTCTATGCAAAGATGTGCTTTTGTATTTTTTCCACTTCCCTTAAACATTCACATGGATAAACTGTTGAAAGAGGGACTAAAATAAAATATTCCCCAGTAATTCTTCAGGTATGGAAAACCACCTTAGTTAACTTCTTGGTGAAAGGTTTCAATGGCTTCAGATACAATCTGCTAAAAAAAAAAAAATAGAAGCAAGTTTTTACATGTGTCCTCTTTGAAAGAAAGAGGTATTTTTGTCTCAACAGTCAAAAACCACCACAAATCCCTTGCTTTCCTGATATGATAAAACTAAATTCTATGCAATTTGGCTCTTTGAATTTATCATTGGTATTTCATTCAATATGAGAGTTGAAAAGGACAAAACTAAGACTAAGTTTGCTTTCCTGAAAGGAGTTCAGATCTGAGTAACCATTTATCCACATTGATTAATCACAAAGACTTTGACCAGTATCTATACTTAAGTGGGCCATAAATATTAAATTTAACCAAAATTCTTAAGGAAACTATAACTCCTACTTCACTTCTGAGGTTTTCAGGATTTTTTGAATGGCATCTGTTCTTTCACTAACTCTGGAAAAACAAACACTCCAATAAATTACTTTTTATCAACACTTAAAAAAAAAAGTCTGCTATGGTACTTCTCTACCTCTGCCACAGAAGGAACACCTTTTCATGGAATATTTCTTCTGTCTGATTTCAGGCAAGCTATGTCTGCAGTCTCATCTCTGTATCTAAGAAGCAGGGCAGCTGGGGTTCCCACCACCCATCTGGACCCATTGAAGACTGCTCCTCACTCCCAAGCTGAGAAGTTCTTGAACTAGTAAGAAGTGAAGAGCACTGAAGCCAAAGAGGAAATGGAGAAAAACATCATTTACACAGTAATTTATAAACTTTTTTTTAAAATACATTTTTATTAAAACATTTGCTTTTAATGCCTTGTAGAAATCCACCACCTTAGAGCCATCGGAAGCTGCTGACTTTCTTCAAACGTGTCAAAGGAAGAACAGGTACATCTCCAAATTCTGCTTCAGCAGAATTTTTTCTCACTTTTAACATTAACCAGTTGGATTTAGTAAGTTACTGTGAACTTGCCAAGATTCTTCACCTTGTCCTTTTAAAAGTATGCTTTAAAGAAAACTACTTTTATAAACAGGCAGTAACTACAGGTAAAGGTTCAGCATGCACCAAAGGGCTAAAGTACAGGAGAACCACAAGGAGTACACAGATGTTACTGGATTGTGCTTTTAAGAAACTACCCACAGAGACAACAGTGAGTGCAGGTAAGGAAGAAGGAAAGACTACTTGCAACTGAACAAAGATTAAAATGCCAGGGTTACAATAGTTTCAAGTCATCTAACAGACTGATATAGTTTAAAATTCACACTCAGTATAAATGAGACAATATGCCTGTGATGATGCAGGGGGGCAAGCTGCAGTACAATGCCTGAACTCTCATAGAAAGGCTGGTGTGCTGATACCAGGGATGGCATGACTCCGATTCACTCGGGAATCAGGCACCAGATTTGGAAGTCTCATGTTCATACACTGGGTGGTCTAGGCTGTGAAGCGAGTGGAGTAGGATGGTTGGTATCTATCTCTGTGAAGGTAGAAGGAAAACCTCCCTACCGCTGACAATAGTGAGCAACGGCATTAACAAACCTTGCCTTTTGGGGTCTGTTATCAGCTTCCTCAGTCAGCGGTTCAGTACAAGGCTACTAGCATTTCTGACCCGTTTCTTTCATTTGTTAGCTTTCCCATAGGAAAACAGAAGAGTGCATCAGCAGATGAGTCTATTTTAAGGTTGACCCCTTGGTTACTTACACAATACATACACTACACTGTTGGGACATTTGTATATGCCCTTTATCACAGGATCAAAGTGTTCTATTTATGCCCTTGGCACATACACACTTGTTTACTTGAGTCAGGATTTGTCCTGCATGGTCTCCAATCCAGTTTTTACTTAAAACTACAAATATATGTTTTTTAAACAAAAGGTCTTTCTCAGGTTTGACACACATGACGATTTGGGCATCCTTGGCTTTGCTGAAGTTTTAAGCCAAAAAATAGTGGTTTAGGTTTTAAAAAAGTTTAGATGTTTGGCAGATACTTGGTAACTAATTTGTGCAAAAAGTCCAGCAAGTTTTATTTCTAACACTGATTTAAGAAATGGGCTTAACAGAAAATAGATGTACTTAATAGTCCATCTTACTTCATTAATGAAATGTGCAGTACCTTGCTGTGTCTGTTTACAGGAGGTTAGGACTTACCCATTTTGCATCTGTCTTCCGCTCCCTACAGCCTTTCCTATTGTTACTTTGATACCCAGCCCATTTTAATACAACATGAGGTTTCCCAGCAAACTGGCTGCCGTATTTCCATACTTCAGCCATACAAAGTGTTTCCAAAGCCACATGTACTTTTTGAAAGTTAATCAGGCAGGTATCATTGTAGGGATTTCACAGATAAAACTAAGAATCACCATCTTTTGATATATTATTTTCATGAAAACAAATTAATAAGGAACACTTGTTATATTCCCTTTTGTTTGTTTGTTTAAATTACATTTGGCACAAAAAAATCAGCCTGTAACAAATTTCAGCATAACAAAGATCCATGGGATCACACATATAATAGAAGGTGACCTTCCTCTGTCACTTAAAGCTCCTGCTCTTACTAAGAATCCACCTTGGGAAAAATACTGACTTTATTGTTTCTGCTGATTTTTCTTTCTGCTTTACCCTTAGGCTGTTTCGTCTGGATTAGCTCTTCAGGGGTATTCCCCAAAGGAGGCAGGAGTCGCTTCTTACTGTTTCGGTTTTCTGAGAGCCACTGTGGAGGCAGCTCAAAGGGTCCAAAACCAAACTGCATGGAATACTTGTCATTTACCGTATCAGCTTCTGTGGGCACAGCTGGCGCCACCTGAGCTGCAGAGTCTGCAATCGTCTGTGGTATAAATTTGTGAACCAAAGTCTCTCCTACCTCTAAACTGGTGGTAGGAATTTCTTTCTGCTGAAAGTCACCAGAGCCAATGGATTTGGTCTCATTCTCCTCATCTTCCGTTGGCTTGAAGATTTGTTGTTGCCCGATATGAAACATCTCCAGAAGCTGGCTCCCCGAGCGGACACTGGGCTCCAGATTAGCATCTGCAACACCTCCCGAGCTCACAATGTTTCTCCTGCTATACCTTCGGTGCAGCTGTACTATTGTCCCCACTAAGCACTTCCGTACAGATTTGTTAACAGTTAAAAACAACAAAGGATTGGCCAGCAAAGAGACCTTGGGCAACCAAATGGCAGTGAGAAGCAAGAAGACTGAAATATCTGAAATATTGAGTATGGTGCGGTAAATCACCAAAGTCACATAGGGGACGCTGCAGAAAATAAATATCATAACCATGGAAAGCAGCATGGCATGGAGCTCAGCTTCCCGCTGGGAGGCATAAGGGATGGAAATTGTATTCTGAGGGGTCCTTAAGGCAGCTATGATGACTTTTTTCTTCTGGCTGGCACTCAGTGCCCTGCGAATAAGAATCATAAAGAGAAATACCACAGCCACTGGTACAATCACAGTGGTGATGTTATAGATGATGACGTATATCAGGTGGCCAAGGGAGTAACTCCAAGATTCAGAACAGGTGGACATGGCATAAATATCAGACACATTGGTCACAGCAAATACTGGAATGCTGGCCACTATTGCATGGGCCCAGATATAGATAACCAGGTCTCGGGATTTTGCATCAGATATTTTTCTTTCCAAAGGGTATAAAACAGAGTAGTACCTGTCAAAAAAAAAAAAAAAAATTTAAAAAATACAACTGATACACTGCAAAGGGTGAAGTCTGTAATAAGCATAGTGCCTATGAGAAGCCTCTCAGGAGCTGCCTGAGCATAATGCCCAAAATCCCTAACTGGGTTGCCAACTGACTACCTGCTTATGAGAGAAAAAAAAAAACCCAAGGGTCTGCCTTTGCAGGTCTGTCTGTAGAAAAAAACCCTGAATATTCAAACTTCAGGATCACGTTATTGGTATTGAACAATTCTTTCAATAATTGGGACTATATCACTTTGGCTGATGTGCATGAACATTATTTTGAAGATTTCACCGTTCACTTACTTTTACGCTGGACAGTATATTGCACACAGCACAAAATTTCAGAAAACATGATGGAGGCATAGGTATGTCACATTGAAAGGCCAGACTCATAGTTTATTTGAAAAGCTGCTTTATGATAGATTCTTTCTCTGGATATCTGGAAAAAGCTGTTGGTCACAAATTACATGTACCCATCTACTGGAAGTACAATGAGGTTTTGTTTTGCACAAGCTCTGGTTGGCAAGGCCCTGAGCAAAAGAGTAGTCAAACACTGAACGCTCTGTGTGCATTAAAAAAAAAAAAAGTGCATCTCTGACATGCACTTCAAATTTCAGGCACTGATTCATTGTTTGCTTAGCTACTGCGGACTTTTAAGCTCACAGACTTTTCATGAGACCTATCCTTTTACACTTATCGTTATAAGTGGTAGCAGTTTCTGCTTTTTGTGAGGAAGATGACAAGTTTTACTGGTGAAGGGCAAATGATATGCTGTTCCAGTGGCAACACTGGTATGCATTACAGATAGTGATACTGCATTTATCAAGACGTTAACATTAAAGTAAAAGACATACCACTTTATTAGGTATACAGTTTGTTTTTGTAGAGCTAACATATTCTGTGGTGAGACACGGTAACAGACTAACAATAATTTTATCCAACATGTATAAATCCACTGTTTTAGTAATTTAAACTGTACTAAACCAGTACCTACCCTTCCTTAAAAATATCTAACTTACAGTCACTGTCAAGATGATAGAGCTGTGCATTTAGGTGGGATCAGTGACTGCTAATAATAATAACCAAAATGAATGGAATCCAAAAACTTAGACAGTCCAAAGGGCCACTTTTGTTTTAGACTGATCTTCTACATACAAAATCTCTCTGAATTAATTCTGGTTGTATTAAAATTGTTTGGGTTTTTTTAAAACAAATCTACATATGAAATTTGAAATTGATGGACAATCTACCACAGGCATTGTTAAATTCTTCTAACGGGCAATGACTTTCAACTTCTACAGATAAAAATGTGCACCTTGTCTATAGTCTGATGTCTGGCTTCAAGTTCCATTACTGAACAAGAATTATTAACAAGAAGAAAGAAAGGATAAAAACTTCTCTGAAGACAAATCTACAGACTCGAAGTCCTTTATAAATGTCCAGAGACATCAGAGTAAACTCAAAAATAAATGTTTTCAATGTTACAGAGAAGAATATTTATTCCAGTACGTTCTGGAAAGAAGCTGTACACTGCGAGCAAGGCAACACTAAATAGCATTTACAAGACTAATATGAAAGGAAGAAAAGGGTTTCAAAGAGAGAAAGAAGAAAGAAAAATCAAGGATCCTGGCAAATTTGATCCCTTACCTGTCAAGAGCAATGGCTGGAAAACTAAGGATGGTCACTGAGCAGAAGACTTTGTGCAGAAATTTGGCAATTCTGCAGAAGAGCATCGTATAGATCCACCAGCAGCAGTGTGGACTGGCACTAAGAGCAATGTCAAAAGGCACACAGACTAGGCTGGCACAGATCCCCGAGCAGGCCAAATTCTTAATGAATCGGTTTGTTACAGATTTAAGTACCGATGTTCTGCAAGTTGACCACAGCACCATGATGTTACCTGCAAGTAGAGACAGGAAGGATAAACAAAGAAAAAAAAACCAACCAACCAGCCAAACACCCCCAAAACCCAACAACAGTAATTTTAACAGATTTGAATGTTCCCTAGTACTGCAAATAAAAATACTTGTTTGGAGTTTGCCAGGAGTCACTGATTTGAACCATCACACTGCCCAAACTAAAAAGTCTGTGTAATGGCTAGTGGCTCTATAAATCAGATGACTGAAAAAAATTACTCCCCAGCTATCTCCTTGCAGTGTCTATGCCCTGGTTTCAGCTGGGATAGAGTTAATTTTCTTCCTAGTAGCTGGTACAGTGCTGTGTTTTGGATTGAGGAGGAGAACAATGTTGATAACACACCGATGTTTTAGTTGTTGCTAAGTAGTGCTTACACTAGTCAAGGACTTTTCAGCTTCCCATGC